CACTTGTGTCATGGGGGTTTGTTGTACAGGTATTTTGTCACCCAGGTGTTAAGCCTTTAGTTATTTTTCCTGATCCCCTCCCTCTTTTCTACCCTTCATCTTCCACCCTCTGATAGGCCCCAGTATATGTTGTTCCCCTCAATGTGTCCGTGTGTTTTTGTCATTGTTAAGTGAGAACATGCTGTATTTGATTTTCTGTTCCTGTGTTAGTTTGCTAAACATAATGGCCTCCAGCTCCATCCGTGTTCCTGCAAAGCACATGATCTCGTTCTTTTTTTTTTTTTTTTTTTTGAGGCAGAGTCTTGCTCTGTCACCAGGCTAGAGCACAGTGGCATGATCTTGGCTCGCTATAACCTCCATCTCCGTCCCGGAGTCAAGTGATTCTCTTGCCTCAGCCTCCCGAGTAGCTGGAATTACAGGCATGTGCCACCATGCCCAGCTAATCTTTGTATTTTTAGTACAGACAGGGTTTCACCATGTTGGCCAGGATGCTCTTGATCTCCTGACCTCGTGATCTGCCTACCTTGGCCTCCCAAAGTGCTGGGATTACAGGCATGAGCCACCACGCCTAGCCTAATTTCATTCTTTTTTATGGCTGCATAGTATTCCATGGTGTATATGTACCACATTTTCTTTATCCAGTCTACTATTGATGGGCATTTAGGTTGATTCAATGTCTTTCTGTCATAAATAGTGCTGCAGTGAACATACATGTGCATGTGTCTTTATGACAGAACGATTTATAGTCCTTTGGGTATATACCCCGTAATGGGATTGCTGGATTGAATAGTAGTTCTGTTTTTAGGTCTTTGAGGAATCACTACACTGTTTTCCACAATGGGTGAACTAATTTACAACCTAACCAATAGTGTGTAAGTGTTCCTTTTTCTCTGCATCCTCTCCAGCATCTGTTATTTTTTGACTTTTTATTTTATTTTATTATTACTTTTTTTTTCTTTTTTGAGATGGAGCCTTGCTCTGTCACCAGGCTAGAGTGCAGTGGCACAGTCTCAGCTCACTACAACCTCCACCTTCCAGGTTCAAGCGGCTCTCCTGCCTCAGCCTCCCAAGTAGCTGGGACTACAGGCACGTGCCACCACATCCAGTTAATTTTTGTATTTTTAGTAGAGACGGGGCTTCACCATGTTAGCCAGGATGGTCTCATCCCTTAACCTTATGATCTGCTTGCCTTGGCCTCCCAAAATGCTAGGATTTACAGGTGTGAACCACCTTGCCCAGCCCTATTTTTTGACTTTTTAATCATAGCCATTCCAACTGATGTGAGATGATATCTCATTGTGGTTTTGATTGCATTTCTTTAATCAGTGATGTTGAGCCTTAAATAAATATGCTTGTTGGCTGCATGTATGTCTTCTTTTGAAAACTGTCAGTTCATATTTTTTGCCCACTTTTTAGGAGTTGTTTTCTTATAAATTTGTTTATCCTTATAGATGCTTTATATTAGACCTTTGTCAGATGCATACTTTGTGAAATTTTTCTCCTATTCTGTAGGTTATCTTTTTACTTTATTGATAGTTTCTTTTGCTGTTCTGAAGCTCTTTAGTTCAACTAGATCTTACTTGTCAATTTTTGCTTTTGTTGCGATTGCTTTTGGTATCTTCATCACGAAGTCTTTGCCCGTTCCTATGTCCAGAATGATATTGCCTAGATTGTCTTCCAGGGTTTTTATAGTTAAGTCTTTAATCTTGAGTTGATTTTTATATATTGTATAAGAAAGGGATCCAGTTTCAATATTCTGCATATGGCTACCCAGTTATCCCAGCACCATTTATTGAATAGGGAGTCCTTTCCCCATTGTTTGTTTTTGTCACCTTTGTCAAAGATCAGATGGTTGTAAATGTACAGCCTTATTTCTGGGTTCTCTGTTCTGTTCCATTGGTCTATGTGTCTGTTTTTGTACCAGTACCATGCTGTTTTGGTTACTGTAGCCCTGTAGTATAGTTTGAGGTCAGGTAGCATGATGCCTCCAGCTTTATTCTTTTTGCTTAGGACTGCCTTGACTCTTTGGGCTCTTTTTTGGTTCCGTATGAATTTTAAAATGTTCTGTGAGGAATGTCTTTGGTAGTTTGATAGAAATAGCATTAAATCTATAAACTGTTTTGGGTAGTATGGCCCTTTTAGTGATATTGATTCTTCCTATCCATGAGCATGGAGTGTGTTTCCATTTGTTTGTGTCATCTCTGATTTCTTTGAGTAGTGTTTTGTAGTTCTCCTTGTAGAGATTCTTCACCTCGCTGGTTAGCTGTATTCCTAGGCGTTTCATTCTTTTTGTGGCAGTTGCGAATACGAGTTTGTTCCTGGTTTGGCTGTTGGTGGTGTATAGGAATGCTAGTGATTTTTGTGTGTTGATTTTGTATCCTGAGACTTTGCTGAGTAGCAATTTGGATAGACAAATTGTGGTATATTCGTACAGTGGAATAATATGTATAAAAAGGAATGAACTACTGACACACATAATTCAAATGACTCTCAACATCTTTATGCTGAGTAAAAGTATTTAGACACAGAAGGTCCTATTCATGTAAAATTCTAGAATGAACAACAGTTACAGAAATCAGATCACTGCCTAGGACTAGGGTTGGGGATTGACTCCTGGGGCGAGGGGGGACTTTACTGCATGTAAATTATACCTTAATAAAGTTATTTTTAAAAGGAAAATATTAACAACTACTTGCCAACAGTTTTGAAAACTTACGTGAAATGGACAAATTCCTTTTCAAAATTATCAGAACTTTTTTTTTTTTTTTTTAAGATGGAGTCTCTCTCTGTTGCCAGGCTGGAGTGCAGTGGCATGATCTCGGCTCACTGCAGCCTCCACCTCCTGGGTTCCAGCGATTCTCCTGCCTCAGCCTCCCAAGTAGCTGGGACTACAGGTGCGCACCACCATGCCCAGCTAATTTTTGTATTTTTGGTAGAGACGGGGTTTCACCATGTTGGCCAGATGGTCTCGATCTCTTGACCTCGTGATCCAGCTGCCTCGACCTGTCAAAGTGCTGGAATTACAGGCATGAACCACCGCGCCCAGCCCTAAAATTATCAGAACTGACTCAAGAAGTAAAAAGGTTGAAAGTTTAGACTAGGCGCAGTGCCTCACGCCTGTAATTCCAGCACTTTGGGAGGCAGAGGCAGACAGATCACTTGAGATCAAGAGTTGGAGACCAGCCTGGCCAACATGGCAAAACCCCATCTCTACTAAAAATACAAAAATTAGCTGGGTGTGGTGGTGCGTGCCTGTAATCCCAGCTACTCAGAAGGCTGAGGCAAGAGAATCGCTTGGACCCAGGAGGTGGAGGTTGCACTGAGCCAAGATTGTGTCACTGCATTTCAGACTGGCAACAGAACAAAACACTGTCTCAAAAGAAAACGTGAAAGTTTAGTACTAGGACTATTAAATTGAAAAAGTGGTTAATAATCTCCCCATTACAAAAATACCTAGCCAGATGATTTGGCAGGCTTGTCTACTAAACTTTGAAGCAACAAATCATCTCAGTTTATACAAATTCTTCCAGGCATTGGAAAAAGAGAGACTACTTCAGCTCATCCTGAGAGAGGTAACATAACCCTGCTACATCCAGAGACGCACTACCAAAACAAAATCACAGGTCTACTAATGAATGCAGATGCAGAAAATCTAAAGACACTAGCAAATCAGTTTCAGCTGTGCATAAAAAGACAATACTTTACCTCTAAATTGGACTCTGGTAGGTATGCAAGCATAGGATGATGTGTAAAAATCCATACAAACAAATTACCACAGTAGATTAATAGAGGGAAAAATGTGGTCATTTGAATAGATGTAATAAATGCATTTGATAAACTTAACACCCAAGTATAAATAATGTTTTTCAGTTAGATTTTTTTTTTTCTTCATTCTGATTGAGGGGGTATTGTTAGCAAGACCAAGGGGGAATATAATCAGAAACTTAGAGCTTTACTATTTTGGTACGGGGTCAACAGACACTGATGGAGAATCTATTACTAACCATAAGTGAGAGGCAGTGTAACAGTGGTTGAAAGGAAGGACCCTGTAGCCAGCTTTTCCTGGGATTTTTCCTGTTTCTGTCTCTTGCCTCCTCTGTTGACTGAGTGTTCTCCATAGATGAGAACAATAATACCTTCCATAGGCTGTTGACTTAAGGCTTAATGAATTAATGTACATGAAACACATAGAACACTGTTGATGCACAGTATGCCCTGAAGTCAGTTTCATTCATTTTTCTTAAAAATATTTCTTTAGAGACAATACCTTACTCTGTCACCCAGGCTGGAGTATGGAGGCACAATGATAGCTCACTAAGGCCTCAACCTCCTAGGCTCAAGCAATCCTCCCACCTCAGCCTCCTGAGTAGCTAAGACCACAGGTGTGTGCCACCACTGCCGACTAATTATTTTGAGACAGAGTCTCGCTCTGTTGACCAGGCTGGAGTGCAATGTTGCGATCTTGGCTCACTGCAGCCTCTGCCTCCCAGGTTCAAGTGATTCTCTCACCTCTGCCTCCTGAGTAGCTGGGCCTACAGGCACGCACCATCACGCTTGCCTCATTTTTGTATTTTTAGTAGAGACGAGGTTTTACCATGTTGGCCAGGCTGGCTGGTCTCGAACTCCTGACCTCAAGTGATCTGCCTGCCTCGGCTTCCCAAAGTGCTGGGATTACAGGCATGAACACCGCATCTGGCCCTGACTAATTCTTAAAATTTTTTGTAGAGGTAGGATCTCGCTATGTTGTCTAGGCTGGGCTCGAACTCCTGGCTTCAAATGATCCTCTCACTTTGGCTTCCCAGCATTCTGGGTTTACAGGCATGAGGCACTGTGGCTGGCTTCAATAGTTTTTTTTATAGCTTTCAAATAACATATGTTATGTTTTAAGGCCATCTCCATCTTAGCCAAAAGGCTAAGTTAATGACTATGTGTAGACTTTGATAAAAGTGTTTTCCTTTTCAGATTACAAATTGACCCTTTTCTGTGTGTGTGTCCCCAAGGTGAGTGATTTCACGTGGAGCCATGATGGAACTCAAGCACTTATTTCCTATCGAGATGGGTTTGTCCTGGTTGGTTCTGTCAGTGGACAAAGACACTGGTCATCCGAAATCAACTTGGAAAGTCAAATTACGTGTGGCATATGGACTCCTGATGATCAACAGGTAACACCTCTGAAATGTGGGTATGTGATGTTAAAACCATGGGCACTCGGAGGGAAGAAAGGGGCAGGAGAAGCGGAGCTGGTGCAAAAGCCTCTTTAAGAATCACAATGGAAAAGAACAATAAAACTGTCCAAGTAGGGCCGGGCGCAGTGGCTCACGCCTGTAATCCCAGCACTTTGGGAGGCCGTGGCCGGCGGATCACGAGGTCAGGAGATTGAGACCATCCTGGTTAATACGGTGAAACCCTGTCTCTACTAAAAATACAAAAAAATTAGCCGGGCATGGTGGCGGGCGCCTGTAGTCCCAGCTACTCGGGAGGCTGGGGCAGGAGAATGGCGTGAACCCGGGAGACAGATGTTGCAGTGAGCCGAGATCGCGCCACTGCACTCCAGCCTGGGCGACTGAGAGAGACTCTGTCTCAAAAAAAAAAAAAAAAACTATTCAAGTAAAAATTAAAAGAAAAATTTTAAATGAACCATAAATTGGAGAAACAACATTTCCCACCAATATGGTAACATTAATTTAACGTTTTAATTATATAAAATGTGCATACACTTTTATTAATAAAATCTGCATAAATATACAGTTGATATTAGATATCAACTAAGTTGATACGAAGCTAAAACAATCAGGATAGGAAATGGGATGTGTGGTATATTCCTACATCGTAAGACAACAAAGAAGCCCATGCACATGCTAAAAAGAGCTGGAGGGAAGTGAATCAAAAGATTATAAGCAGTTATTTTATGCTAATGAGCCTCTGGTTCATTTTTTAAAAATCGAATTTCAAAATTTAATATGCCTGTTTGACTTTCATGAGAAAATAACATGTAAAAACAATACAATTCTATATTGATAATTCATTTTGGAGGCCGAGCATGTTGGCTCACGCCTGTAATCCCACCACTTTGGGAGGCCAAGGCGAGTTAATCACCTAAGGTCAGGAGTTCGAGACCAGGCTAACCAATATGGTGAATCCCTTCTCTACTAAAAAAAATTACAAAAATTAGCCAGGCATGGTGGCGGGCACCTGTAGTCCCAACTACTCAGAAGCTGAGACAGGAGAATTGCTTGAACCAGGAGGTAGAGGTTGAAGTGAGCTGCGATTGTGCCACTGCACTCCAGCCTGGACAACAGAACTAGACTCCATCTCAAAAATGAAATAAATGAAATGAAATGTAATGAAATGAAATGAAATTCGTTTTTAAAATATAAGGATTGACTAGTTAAAACCTTTGTAAATATAAAATTTGTGTTTTCCATGTACAGCAGAGTACATATAATGCCAGGATGTTTTGTAGCAGAGATTTAAGTTTATTATTGGTTAAAAGAAACCAAGCAGTGTAATATGGAACCATAACTTTCATATTTGAGTCACTTTTTTTAACTGAATTGCTTTCCTCTAGTCACTATATATTTAATGTTTCCATTTTTCAAGTAAAAAGGCAAATATTTTTTCTCATCTCAAAATTGGTATTATGAGATTTATGAAAAGGTATTTTCAACTCCATGTTTCTTCCTTTGCTTTCCCCCAAAGACTTCCAATTATCCCTAGTATTTGTGTGTATTTATATGAAATGCTTAGATTCATTTATTACAAAGCTGCATTTTTATAGCTTTTTACTACCCCCAGAGTCTCCGAAGTGTGTTGCATTAAGTGACCTTGCCCAAGTGACCTTGCCTAAGGCACCTGATCTCTCCCATGTCGGTTTCTCCTGTGTGACAAGGACTATGTATTATTTCCTGCCTAATCCGCAGGGCTTTTGTAATGATCAAATGAAGGAACAGATGTGAAAGCCCTTAAAAATCCAGGAGTGGAAGTCTTGGCTTCACATTCTCTCCTCGCCTAGAGTGGTGGAACCCATGAGCCATCTGTGAGGTTCATCTCAGGGTCCTCTGATGAGTTGTGCCAGCCAGTGTCCCCAGCAGACTGCGCACATGTAGGACAGGCAGGGGGTCCACTGGGAATACAGCATTGAGAGAGACGTAGCTCTTGCCTTTGAGGTACAATTGGACCTGTCGAGGAGACAGACCTCTCCTTACACAGAATACTGCTGCCGTGGCTTGGCAACGTGTGGAGGAGGACTTCCCAGGAAGGGCTGGCTATGACTCCCAAGTTGAATCTGGGGTACGTTGTTCCAGGCAGCCTGAGCAGAGTTCCAGAATATTGACACCATGGTGTGCATGTACCACAGGGAGTGGTTTCCTGCTGCTCTGGAATGTGAAGGGGTACTCCTGGGGCTGGAGGAGTCGGTAGGACAGTGGCCATGGGAAGCATGGAGACCATGCTGACGTGTCTGGCCTTGACTGCGTAGACCTTGGTGTGAGGAAAGAGCTGATGTGGCAAGCAGCTGGGCCCTTGGCCCCAGCCTCTGTCCTGATGACTGCTTTTACAGGTGGGATTTTCTTCTAGGAAAGTGCCCCCACTGCCTTTAAATAAAAGGGTTGCAGCAGGGTGCTTGTTGTCTCGGCTAGTCAGGAGGCTGAGGTGGGAGGCTCACTTGAGCCCAGGAGTTCTCGAGACCAGCCTAGACAACATAGCGGGACCCCATCTCTTAAAAAAAAAAAATAATAATAATAATTAAAAAAGGGTTTGTAGGTCATTGAAGCAATAAGGACCCTGGGAAGAATTTACCACAGAGAAGATGTGTATCAGGCACTCTGTCAGTCCTGTTTGAATTGGGACGTAGAGCAGGAATACTCCTCTTCCCGTCTCTGCCACTCATTCATATCTGTTGCTCGGTTTGATTTTATTAATGAAAAAATAGTACAAAGACAGGTTGTGCGCCAGCCTAATGGCTGTAATGTCAGGAGTTCGATGTGGAAAGCAGCACCTCTGCAGCTCAGGGGGCTCTGAACAGTGGACATGAAGGTAGAGCAGCAGGAAGCCGACTGAGTCTCTTCCTGCTTCCCCGAGAACTTTCTGCCTTTAATGTGAGTTAAAACAGCTTCCAGAAGTAAACCTCTTCCTCACATCTTGAGCTATTTTGGATTCTAGTGGAATTTTAGGCTACTTCCTGTCAACTTTAAAAAATATAAGCAGTACATGGCTGGGCGCGGTGGCTCACTCCTCTAATTCCAGCACTTTGGGAGGCCGAGGCGGGTGGATCACCTGAGGTCAGGAGTTCGAGACCAGCCTGACCAATATGGTGAAACCCCCGTCTCGACTAAAAATACAAAAATTAGCTGGGCGTGGTGGTGTGGGCCTGTATTGTGCACTGTGTTGCCAACTTTCTGTTATGAATGTGTTCAAATGTACAGAAAAGTTGAGAAAATAACCCTTCCTGAAACAAATTACCATATTTGCACTTTTTCCTCACCACTCCCCACTTTTTTGTAGTTCTTGTTTTTGAAAGTAAGTTGTAGACATCCTGGCACATCAGCCTTATATATTTCAACATATGCTTCCTGAGATAAAGCCTTTCACCTGCACAGGCACCCCTAAGAAATTAGCAATGACATTATCTGGTATCTAGGCTATCTTTGTATTTCCTGAATTGTTACAGGAATGTATTTCATAGTCTTTTTTGGTTTTTTGGAACCAGGATGCAGTTTAATTCACGTACAGCAGTTGGTTGTTCTGTCTCTTCAGTCTTTTAGTCTAGAACAGTTTCCTTTTTTTTAAATTGACTTTTTCATGAAGTCAGTGTGGCTACCTTATAGGCTGTCCCCACACTCTAGATTTGTCTGATTGTGGTTACTCATAGTATCATTTTCCTTCCAGCCCTTGTATTTCCTATAAACTGGAAGTTGAGTCTAGATTAGAGTAGGAGTAAACAATTTTGGTAAGAATACTTTAAAGGTAACATATTCTTTACTCTGAACCACACTAAAACTCTCATCCCAGTCTGAGGGTTGCTGAGTTTGATGGAACCTTTGTAAAAACAAAAGTTGCCAGGCACAGTGGCTCACGCCTGTAATCCCAACACTTTGGGAGGCCGAGGAGTGTGGATCATGAGGTCAGGAGATCTAGACCATCCTGGCTAACACGGTGAAACCCCGTCACAACTAAAAATACAAAAAAATTAGCCAGGCGTGGTGGCACGCGCCTGTAGTCCCAGCTACTCCGGAGTCTGAGGCGGAGAATTAGTTGAACCTGGGAGGCATTGCAGTGAGCCGAGATGGCGCCACTGCACTCCAGCCTGGGCAACAAGAGGGAAACTTTGTCTCAAAAAGAAGTTATTTTTCACAGTATGTTGTTAATGTCTGTTCAAAGGATGTGTTTTACTTCAGGGTAAAATTTGTCTTCCATTAAATTGCAAGAAGGGAATGTAATCCTACTTGGAATCTATTTAGTGGGTAAGGACTCTGTATTAGTTTGCTTGGGCTGCCATGACACAATATCACAGACTGGGCAGCTTCAACAACAGAAATGTATTTCTCACAGTTCTGGAGGCTGGAAGTCCAAGATCAAGGTGTTGGAAGGTCTGATTTCTCCTGAGTTCTGTCTCCTTGGCTTACAGACACCTGCCTTTTTATTGTGTTCTCACATGGACTTTTCTCTGTGCACCCACGTTTCCAGTGTCTCTTCCTCTTCCTGTAAGGATACCAGTCCTATTGGATTAGGGTCCCACCCATACTACCCCATTTAACTGTAATTACCTCTTTACAGGCTCCATCTCCAAAAATAGTCACATTGGGGGTTCAATACATTTGTTCAACAAAATTCAGCATATGAGTTTTGGAGCATGCAATTCAGTTCCTAATAGACTGATAGAAAATATTTTGGAGAACAGAAAAGTTACAGAAGAAATAGTGATATAAACTCAGCTTTAGAAACTTGGGATATATTTATAAATAGAACGGGTTTTATAGGGCTTGGGAGCAAACCAGAATGACACAAAGAGAAAATGTCAAATAAATGTAAGTATGACTGGGAAAAATATCTGGGTCCTAAGTTGATCCAGAGTAATGCTGCAGCAGTGAAGCTTTTGCAGTTCTGGAAACACCCAGCATCACAGCAGAGTGTGCCAGAGAGAATGTTTCATTGCCTCTGTGTTCTCCTTGGGTTTAGGAGAATACCTTGCCCCTTGATATGTGAAAGTTATTTGAGACGTTGACATTTTGAAATATTCTTCCAGCATGTTTTGGATCTTAGCTAACTGCCAATTCACTTGGAAAGCCTTTCAACTAGAGAATGCGGTGAGAACCTGAGCTGTGTTTCCATGAAAAAGGTAGACTTGCCAATGTGCCACCCAGCATTTCCAGGCTGAGTGTGGTCCTCCTAGGGCGGTGATCAGCTGATGTGACTGAGGCCACTGAGGATAGGTCAAAAGAAGAGCCCCAAACTTCAATTTGAGACTCCAGTTTGAATGTGAAAGAATTTTGTGGTAACTTCTGAATGAAAGTTACCACATACATAAAATGGCACGGGAAGAAAACCCTCTCCTTGTTCCTGCCCTTCCTGGGGGATCTCCAGGAAGCAGCCCCCAGGCATTGCTCTGCTGTGGGAGACAACGGGTTCTGCTAAGAACTCTTCCCAGACTGTGGCTTTGTCCCTGTGTCATCTCTGACACCCCATCTCCACAGAGCTCCTGCAGTGAGGCACATACATAATTTGGATGCGTGAACCATTTTTTAAATCATCTTAAGACAGTTCCAGGGCGTTAAAGCTTATGGAAGTTAGTGACACCCATTTCCCCCCACAGTCAGGGTAGCTCCCGTCCTGGGTCAAGCAAAGATGTGTATCCTTTGTGTGTCTTCCAGGCATTTGCAGCTTCCCTCCCCAGTCACTGGTTCCTATTTCTTACTTCAGGAGCCACAGAGCATGCTTCTCTCTGGGCTCTTGGCCTCAGATGCGATCTCCTTGGCAGCCTGGTGCTTCCGTCCTCTGCTTGGCTACCTTGGTTGGCATCTTCTAGACCCTGTCAACACATCCAGGCACATCCTTTCTAGCAATGCCTCTCCCAGCTGGATCTCACCTCCTCCTCCCATCCCTGTCATCTCCCTCCCTGGCTCTTACATGGCATGCCTTTCCAACTCGGTCCCCCTTCTGAGGTTCCAACCTCAGGCCTCTTCCCTTTTTCCTATCCTTTGGGTGATTTCTTCCACTGCCACAGCTGCATCAGCTCCCGTCTGTCCACTGCCGGCTCCCCACACCTGTCCCGCACTTGTCGCTCTTGTCCTTCACACTGCGATACCATCACTGTCACCACCACCACCATGCCTGCAGAGCAACTCCGGGTAGATGTAGACATTGCTCAAGTCCACTGTGGTCTGAACTTAGCATCCTCTCCACCCCGCCTCTTCTCCCTCTGGCCCCTCAGCTGCACTCCTCTCTTGCTCATCTTGTATGCCCTAAACTGGGAATTGCTCATCGTTTGTGTCCTAAACTGGGAATCATTTATGCCCTAAACTGGGACTCTTTTTTTTTTTTCATTTTCTTTTTTTTTTGTTTTTGAGATGGAGTCTTGCTCTGTTGCCCAGTGGCACGATCTCAGCCCACTGCAACCTCTGCCTCCCGGGTTCAAGTGATTATTGTGCCTCACCCTCCCAAGTAGCTGGGACTACACAGGCATGTGCCACCATGCCTGGCTCATTTTTGTATTTTTAGTAAAGATGAGATTTCACCATGTTGGCTAGGCCGGTCTCGAATTCCTGACCTCAAGTGATCCACCCGCCTCAGCCTCCTAAAGTGCTGGGACTACAGGTGTGAGCCACCATGCCTGGCCTGGACTCTCTTTTCTGTACCTACAACCTTCATTTAGTCACCAGGTCCTGTTGATTCCACTTCCTGTGTTTCTATCTGGGACTATTTATTTTTACTTAAAGTCTGTAGATGATTGTGCTCAAACCAGCTTAACTGAAAGTATTTAAGTTTTCACATAACTTGACCAGAATGTGTCACTTGAAGGGAGGTTAATGGTTCTCCTGAAATACAGGTACAGATATACTTCACTTTATATAGTGGATGAAAGAATGTAGGTAAAGTGAGTTTTTGAAAACATGATTATATTTTAACTACCCACCTACAGTATTCTCCCTATTTAAAGAATATTCTATAGAAATTGCCCTTGCTTAGAAGGTAGTTGTTTTTGAAATGAGAATTCTTCACCTAGTACATGTTTTTGCTAGCGATATCCAGGTTTTAGTTTTCTGGGAGTAGAGGTAATATTTCTTTATAAATACTAAAACTTTTTAAAAGGAGAGAGTCTTAAATCTGGTATTTTCTTAGACGCTCTTAAACCATGATTTCAAATAAAGTAGAAAGAGTTCAGGCTGATTAGTATTAAATAGTCACCGTGATAAAGCTTTTAGCTTTTCAGGTCTTGGCACATGCAGTACTAGTAGGTGGCATTTTCTTCTCTAGCCTCAGTGCTGATTGTATTTAGTTTTGTGTTTTTTAAACCTAGAAAGAGGGAAGGTTTATCCTTTTGTTTTGGGATGCAAAAGGTAGGTCCCAAATCCCTTCTCATCTGCTAAGGAGGTTTTGCACCCTGTGTGATCTGTTGTGTGCTAGTGTGATCATGTCCCTGAGGCCACTGTGTCTTCACGGCAGCTAAGCACTGTCAGGTCATTTGGGGAGAGAAGCAGTAACAGTCACTGAATGCCTGTGCACTTCTGGGACATCTGTGAGATGAAAGCTTTTTCATGTACATGTTTTGCAAGAAATATGACCTTTATTTGCTATTTGGAGTGGAGTGGAATCAGGACTTGAGTAGTTAGTGTAATAGGATTATTTAAAATAATATTTTAGTACAGAATTTTTAATTCATTTAGTTCAAATGGTTTAAAAATAAATTTTAGGTCAGGCCTAAAATCATGCTGTAATCTTAGCACTTTGGGAGGCCAGAGCAGGAGAATTGCTTGAGGCCTAGCGTTCAAGACCAACCAGGGTAATGTAGCAAGACCCCATCTCTACAAAAAATTAAAAACTAACCAGGTGTAGTGGCACATTCCAGTAGTCCTAGCTACTCAGGAGGCTGAGGTGGGAGGATTGCTTGAGCCTGGGAGGTCGAGGCTGCAGTGAGCTATGATTGCTCACTGCACTCCAGCCTGGGGAACAGAGCGAGACCCTATCTCAAATAAAATAAAAATAATATTTAAAAATAATTAGTATGCAGATATCTTTCCAGATACATTAAGAGATGAAAAATGAACTGTTATAGATACTCATATGCAGGTAAACGTTAAAACATTGGTCAATTGAAAAGAATAATTCATTCACTTTTAAAAGATAAAGTCATGACTGAAGTACCAATTGAGAACTCAAGGAGATTCCCTAACTCCCCCAAAGTATCCAAGTAATAAATGATTCTGGCAAGGCACATTGGCATGTGCCTGTAGTTCCAGCTACTCAGGAGGCTAAGGTGGGAGGATCCCTTGAGCCCAGGAGTTCTGAGCTGTGGTTTGCTATGTCATTTAGGTGTCTACAATACAGTTTACTTCCTGGGTGCAGGGGACCACCAGATTGTCTAATGAGGGGTGAGCCGGCTCAAGTCAGAAACTCCCATTAAAGCAGGTTAAAACTCCCGTGCTGATCAGGAATGGGATTGCACCTGTGAATAGCCACTGCACTTCAGCCTGGGCAACATAGTGAAACCTCATCTGTAAAAATCAAAAAATAAGATTCTGTAGGGATTTTTAAGTATATAATTTTTTAATTTGACTATGAAAAATTTCAGTAGCATATGAAAAATAAGGAATCCGCATATTTTACATTTGCTTTTTTATCCCTTTCTTTTTCTTCTTCTTTGCTGTATTTAAAGCGAATCCCAGATAGCATATCATTTCACCAGTACATACTTTAGTGTAAATCTCCTCAAAGCGTGGCATCCTTCCATAACCACAGTGCCATTATCACACCTCATCTGTTCCGTTTCTGGAGGGAGGTTCTTGTTGGATTGAAGCACATAGTTTAAGTCTGGCTCTGCTCATGGCTCTGGAGGAGCACATCTGCAGCAACACGGAGGCACACGTCCCTGCTGAGGGCTTCCTTTGTCTTGCATAGTCAGAAAGGAAAAGATAGAACTTTAAAACAGTAGTATAACCCTTTGCTTTCTCAGCTAAAAACACCACAGTTTGTTTGTTTGTTTGTTTGTTTGAGACAGACTTTCGCTCTTGTTGCCCAGGCTGGAATGCAATGGTGCGATCTCAGCTCACTGCAACCTCTGTCTCCTGGGTTCAAGTGATTCTCCCACCTCAGCCTCCTGAGTAGCTGGGATTACAGGCGCGCACCACCATACCCAGCTCATGTTTGTATTTTGAGTGGAGACAGGGTTTCACCATGTTGGCCAGGCTGGTCTTGAACTCCTGACTTCAGGTGATCTGCCCGCCTCGGCCTCCCAAAACTGCGCCCAGCCCACAGTTTTATAATGAAAAGTAATTTACAGGCTGGGCACAGTGGCTCATGCCTGTAATCCCAGCACTTTGGGAGGCCGAGGCGGGGGAATCACGACGTCAGGAGATTGAGACCATCCTGGCTAACATGGTGAAAACCTGTCTCTACTAAAACTACAAAAAATTAGCCAGGCGTGGTGGCGGGCGCTTGTAGTCCCAGCTACTCAGGAGGCTGAGGCAAGAGAATCGCTTGAACCCGGGAAGCAGAAGTTGCAGTGAGCCGAGATCGCGCCACTGCATTCCAGCCTGGGTGACAGAGCAAGACACTGTCTCAAAAAAAAAAAGTAATTTACCGATATTTGATGTATAAGTATCAACTAACACATAGAAGAGGTCTATTCTTTGATAGAAAAAAAATCGAACTTCACAAAAGCAAAACGTCACAATTTATTATTTGCAAGGAGTTTTCTATTTGCCCTAAGAAAACATTTTCCTCTGTTGTCCCTTTAAGGCTGGCTGTAAGCACAATTCAGCCTCAACAACTGCCCCTCCCAGAGCAGCTCTCACTCCCACACAGAGGGCCCAGAGCAGCTCTCACTCCCACACAGGGCAGCTCGCATTCCCACACAGAGCAGCTCTCACGCCCACACAGGGCAGCTCTCACTCCCACACAGGGCCCAGAGCAGCTCTCACTCCCACACAGGGCAGCTCTCACTCCCATACAGAGCAGCTCTCACTCCCACACAGGGCAGCTCTCACTCCCACACAGGGCCCAGAGCAGCTCTCACTCCCACACAGGGCAGCTCTCATTCCCACACAGGGCAGCTCTCACTCCCACACAGGGCAGCTCTCACTCCCACACAGGGCAGCTCTCATTCCCACACAGGGCAGCTCTCACTCCCACACAGAGCAGCTCTCACTCCCACACAGGGCAGCTCTCACTCCCACACAGGGCCCAGAGCAGCTCTCACTCCCACACAGGGCCCAGAGCAGCTCTCACTCCCACACAGGGCAGCTCTCATTCCCACACAGGGCAGCTCTCATTCCCACACAGGGCAGCTCTCACTCCCACACAGGGCAGCTCTCACTCCCACACAGGGCCCAGAGCAGCTCTCACTCCCACACAGGGCAGCTCTCATTCCCACACAGAGCAGCTCTCACTCCCACACAGGGCAGCTCTCACTCCCACACAGGGCAGCTCTCATTCCCACACAGAGCAGCTCTCACTCCCACACAGGGCAGCTCTCACTCCCACACAGGGCCCAGAGCAGCTCTCACTCCCACACAGAGCAGCTCTCACTCCCACACAGGGCCCAGAGCAGCTCTCACTCCCACACAGGGCAGCTCTCACTCCCACACAGGGCCCAGAGCAGCTCTCACTCCCACACAGAGCAGCTCTCACTCCCACACAGGGCAGCTCTCTCTCCAACACAGGGCAGCTCTCTCTCCCACACAGAGCAGCTCTCACTCCCACACAGGGCAGCTCTCACTCCCACACAGAGCAGCTTTCACTCCCACACAGGGCCCAGAGCAGCTCTCACTCCCACACAGAACACAGAGCAGCTCTCACTCCCACCCAGAGCAGCTCTCACTCCCACACAGAACACAGAGCAGCTCTCACTCCCACACAGGGCAGCTCTCACTCCCACACAGAACACAGAGCAGCTCTCACTCCCACCCAGAGCAGCTCTCACTCCCACACAGAACACAGAGCAGCTCTCACTCCCACACAGGGCAGCTCTCATTCCCACACAGAGCAGCTCTCACTCCCACACAGGGCAGCTCTCACTCCCACACAGGGCAGCTCTCCACCAGAGCAGCTCTCACTCCCACACAGGGCAGCTCTCACTCCCACACAGCCAGAGCAGCTCTCACTCCCACACAGGGCAGCTCTCACTCCCCACACCAGAGCAGCTCTCACTCCCACACAGGGCAGCTCTCACTCCCACACAGGGCCCAGAGCAGCTCTCACTCCCACACAGGGCCCAGAGCAGCTCTCACTCCCACACAGGGCCCAGAGCAGCTCTCACTCCCACACAGGGCAGCTCTCATTCCCACACAGGGCAGCTCTCACTCCCACACAGGGCAGCTCTCATCCCACACAGGGCAGCTCTCACTCCCACACAGGGCAGCTCTCACTCCCACACAGGGCCAGCTCTCACTCCCACACAGGGCCCAGGGCAGCTCTCACTCCCACACAGGGCAGCTCTCACTCCCACACAGGGCAGCTCTCATTCCCACACAGAGCAGCTCTCACTCCCACACAGAGCAGCTCTCACTCCCACACAGGGCCCAGAGCAGCTCTCACTCCCCACACAGAGCAGCTCTCACTCCCACACAGGGCCCAGAGCAGCTCTCACTCCCACACAGAGCAGCTCTCACTCCCACACAGGAGCTCCACCCACAGAGGCAGCTCTCACTCCCACACAGGGCAGCTCTCACTCCCACACAGGAGCCCCCCCACAGGCAGCTCTCACTCCCACACAGGGCAGCTCTCACTCCCACACAGGGCAGCTCTCATTCCCCACACAGGAGCAGCTCTCACTCCCACACAGGGCAGCTCCTCCACTCCCACACAGGGGCCCCAGGAGCAGCTCTCACTCCCACACAGGGCAGCTCTCATTCCCACACAGAGCAGCTCTCACTCCCACACAGGGCAGCTCTCATTCCCACACAGGGCAGCTCTCACTCCCACACAGGGCAGCTCTCACTCCCACACAGGGCCCAGAGCAGCTCTCACTCCCACACAGGGCCCAGAGCAGCTCTCACTCCCCACCACAGGGCAGCTCTCATCTCCCACACAGGGCAGCTCTCATCCCACACAGGCCTCTCACTCCCACACAGGGCAGCTCTCACTCCCACACAGGGCCAAGCCTCTCACTCCCACACAGGGCAGCTCTCACTCCCACACAGAGGCAGCTCTCACTCCCACACAGAGGCCCAGAGCAGCTCTCACTCCCACACAGCTCTCACTCCCACACAGGGCCCAGGCAGCTCTCACTCCCACACAGGGCAGCTCTCACTCCCACACAGGGAGCAGCTCTCACTCCCACACAGAGCAGCTCTCACTCCCACACAGGGCCCAGAGCAGCTCTCACTCCCACACAGAGCAGCTCTCACTCCCACACAGGCCCAGGCAGCTCTCACTCCCACACAGGGCCCAGGCAGCTCTCACTCCCACACAGGGCAGCTCTCACTCCCACACAGGGCAGCTCTCTCTCCCACACAGAGCAGCTCTCACTCCCACACAGGGCAGCTCTCACTCCCACACAGAGCAGCTCTCACTCCCACACAGGGCCCAGAGCAGCTCTCACTCCCACACAGAGCAGCTCTCACTCCCACACAGAGCAGCTCTCACTCCCACACAGAGCAGCTCTCATTCCCACACAGGGCAGCTCTCACTCCCACAGGGCCCAGAGCAGCTCTCACTCCCACAGGGCCCAGAGCAGCTCTCACTCCCACACAGAACACAGAGCAGCTCTCTCTCCCACCCAGAGCAGCTCTCACTCCCACACAGAACACAGAGCAGCTCTCACTCCCACACAGAACACAGAGCAGCTCTCACTCCCACACAGGGCCCAGAGCAGCTCTCACTCCCACACAGGGCAGCTCTCACTCCCACACAGAGCAGCTCTCACTCCCACACAGGGCAGCTCTCACTCCCACACAGAACGGCTCTCACTCCCACACAGGGCGGCTCTCACTCCCACACAGGGCAGCTCTCATTCCCACACAGGGCAGCTCTCACTCCCACACAGAGCACAGAGCAGCCCTCGCTCCCACACAGGGCACAGAGCAGCTCTCGCTCCCTCAGAGGGCACAGAGCAGCTCTGGCTCCCTCACAGGGCAGCTCTCTCTTCCTCCCTAAGCAGTTCTCACCTCCTCCCAGACCAACTCTCTCCCTCCACCCACCTGGAGCAGCTCTCACCCTCCACCCACCTGGAGCAGCTCACTTCCTCAAAGAGCAGCTCTTACCTCCTTCCAGGAGCCTGCTGGTTTTGAATCCTGATGCACCTGGTCTTTTAAGATTGTGATTGTAGGCACTGCGTAGATTTTATCCCTGCAAAGACTTAAAAAGTCATTTTGAGTAGAGACAGGGTTTCACCGTGTTGGCCAGGCTGGTCTTGAACTCCTGACTTTAGGTGATCTGCCCGCCTCGGCCTCCCAAAACTGCACCCGGCCCAGTTTTATAATGAAAAGTAATTTACAGGCCGGGCACAGTGGCTCATGCCTGTAATCCCAGCACAGAGCAGCTCTCACTCCCTCACAGAGCAGCTCTCTCTTCCTCCCTAAGCAGTTCTTACCTCCTCCCAGAGCAACTCTCTCCCTCCACCCACCCAGAGCAGCTCTCACTTCCTCAAAGAGCAGCTCTCACCTTCCAGGAGCCTGCTGGTTTTGAATCCTGATGCTCAATACAAGAAAAGAACATGGTAATCTGTCACACAAGCTCTTGTAGTGAGTGTTTCTTTTTTAAAAAATAAATCTGTCCTGGTGTGGTGGCTCACACTTCTAATTCCAGCACTTTGGGAGACCGAGGTGGGAGGATCACTGGAGCCCAGGATTGCAAGACCAGCAACATGGCAAAACCCTGTCTCTACAAAAAATGCAAAAATTTTCGGGGTGTGGGGGCACACATGTAGTCTTAGCTACTGGGGAGGCTGAGGGGGGAGGATTGCTTAAGCCCAGGAGGCTGAGGCTACAGTGAGCCATGGTTGTGTCACTGCACTCCAGCCTGGATGACAGAGTGAGACCCTGTCTCAAAAAAAAAAAAAAAAAAAAAAAACCCACAAACCCACTAAAGTAAAACCCCACTGGTCAGCTCCTACACTGAAAACCCTTGCCAGTGACTGGTGAGTACGTTGTAAGTAGGTTAAAGGGCTGGTAGAGTGGAACTGCTGCTGGTAGCTCTTGGGGACTCAACTTTGCAATGAGATTTAGTCTAAGCCAACACAAAGAGTGATCCTTTTTCTTCCCTCCCATCAGATCTGCCCATGACTTTTTAGTAGTGTGAATACTACACAAGGGAAACCCATCTTTATTTTAAACCCTGAACTAAACATATATAGGAATGGTTCTTGTCAAAATCAGCAAGGAGCACAGGAATCACAGTTAGGAGGATGAATTGCTCAGGAAAGAAGTTGGGAGACAGCCTCCCACCCTTCAGGGCTATCTTTATCCAACGATTGATACTGGTTCATTTTTAGTTATTTCTTTTTGCATGTATTTGAGAAATTCTGTCGCGCTTTGTGGAATAAAATACATTTCTTTAGAAGAAACAGGTGCAGCTACTATGTTTGTAGTTTTTCGTTTTGTCAGTGTTTTGGTTGACTGACACGACAGTTAAGATGTCTAGAAATTAAGTCACCCTTTGTTATCTCTGGACTCAGGTGATGAATCACCAGATAGAGCACTCAGTATTAATGAGTTATAAAATATGCTAAATAAAAATGTTTCTTGAGATTTACATTGAGTAAGCCAGGTGCAGTGGCTCATGCCTGTAATCTCAGCACTTTGGGAGGCTGAGGCGGTAGATCACCTTAGGTCAGGAGTTCGAGACCATCCCGGCCAACATGGGGAAACCCCATATCTACTAAAATACAAAATTAGCTGGGCATGATGGCGCACGGCTGTAATCCCAGCTAGTCAGGAGGTCGAGGTAGGAGAATCGCTTGAACCCGAAGGCAGAGGTTACAGTGAGCCAAGATCGCACCGCTGCACTCCAGCCCAGGTGACAAGAGTGAAACTCTGTCTAAGAAAAAAATTACGTTAGAAATAAAAGATGAGAGGAATGTATTCATATACACTGGCTCTGGTTACCTTCTTAAAGTCAGTTTCTTGTTAATGCAATGTTAGATTTTCTTCATATATCTTCATCAGTACCACAGCATGATGATGGCCTTGGTTTTGACACAGGGACCTTACCTGAATGCCACCATTTAGCCAGGTGGTGAACTACAAAATTGATCTTCCTAGGGTTCCACATGGCATTGCTGCTCTACAGCCCCTGCCCTTGACATTGAATATGTCCTTGTATGTGTCAGGAGGGGTGAGATGTGCTGTTTCACATGTGTTCACCACCAGGACAAAGGCTCGCTCCTTCTGGTCAGGACTCTCTGGGCCCTCTTCTCAGCTGGACCTCAACCTTGGCCTCTAAAAACTGCACACTCTCAGCATAAATGGTTTCATCCACACCGTCTTTTTCCTTCCCACACACACACCCTGGAGCAAACACTGGCACAGTTTCTTTTTTTTTTTTTTTTTTTCCTTTTTTCTTTTCTTTTTTTTTTGTTTTGGAGACAGAGTCTCACCTGTCGCCCAGGCTGGAGTGCAGTGGCGCAATCTCGGCTCACTACAAGCTCTGCCTCCCGGATTCACGTCATTCTCCTGCCTCAGCCTCCCGAGTAACTGGGACTACAGGTGCCCGACACCACACCTGGCTAATTTTTTTGTTATATTTTTTAGTAGAGACGGGGTTTCACCGTGTTGGTCTGTCTGGAACACTGGCACAGTTTCTAACAACTCAAGACTGCGTCCTGAGGATGACTGCTCCAGCTTTCTTACGTTCCTGCCTGGGAGAGAGGCTGCCAAGAGAATCAACTGTTTGATAGGGCCCGTCTCCCAGGCTTTGTGAGAGAGTAGGGGCCTAATTTTGATTAGCTCCAGTTAGTAAAGCCAGAGAGCCTAATCACATTAACATCCTCCTTCCAGCTTTTCGATTATTTCTCCTTCCCTGGCTATAGCCTATGCCTCCCTCCTCCTCCCTCATTCTCCCTGCTGCAGCATTTATTATGGATTAAATATTTGTCCTTCCTGCATTAACTCAAGTCCCGTTTGGCTTGTCATTGGCACCGGTCACAAGTGCTGTTGGGTCTGCTTGCACCACTATTCCCCAGCTGCCACTGGTAGCACAGACCAGCAAGTCCTTTCCTCTCTGCTCGTTTGTTGAGAAGTTTATCAGTAGCCATAGGAAAAAATTACTGTTTTCATCATGTTTAGAAGTATATTTCAATGTGTTTTGAAGAGTTGTAAAATTTTGAAATGGGAAGGGATTTGAAGCTGACACTTGGGAGGCAGAATGATGAACCTTACTAAGGCGCTAGGACTCAAAGTAGGATGAGCCTCACTAGCTGACCCCCAGGCCCGATTCTTTGCAAAGGAAAGGATGTTTCCCCAACAGGCTCGGACTACACACCAACAGGCCAAGCAGATTCCAACGTCTCTTGGGGTCTTCTGATCAAAGTACACATGCACCTTCCCAGGCCTCTTGGTGAGTGGCTACCCTGGGCAGTTATGCCTTACTTCACAGAGCTGATATAGGGCTATATTCCTGAAGCATGCCTTTCTTCCTCATTCAATGTATATTTAGATGTATTTTTAATAGTATATTCACATGGTATAAAATACTAAATGTTCCATAGGACATATGATGAAAGGATCCCTCCTTCTATCCCCAAGCTGACCAGAGGTAATGTGTTTTCAGTTACTTGTGTACCCTGCTGGAGATATTCCAGTTAAATGCTTGTTTTTTTGTTTGTTTGTTTGTTTTTTGAGATGGAGTTTTGCTCTTGTCCCCCAGGCTCCTGGAGTGCAATGGCGCGATCTCTGCTCACTGCAACCTCCACCTCCTGGGTTCAAGCAATTCTCCTGCCTCAGCCTCCCAGCCAAGTAGCTGTGGTTACAGGTGTCCACCACCATACCCGGCTAATTTTTTTTTTTTTTTTGAGACGGAGTTTCGCTCTGTCACCAGGCTGGAGTACAGTGGCACAATCTTGGCTCACTGCAATCTCTGCCTCCTGGGTTCAAGCGATTCTCCTGCCTCTGCCTCCGGAGTAGCTGGGACTATAGGCGCGTGCCACCATGCCCAGCTAATTTTTGTATTTTTAGTAGAGACGGGCTTTCACCATGTTGGTCAGGATGGTCTCGATCTCCTGACCTCATGATCCACCTGCCTTGGCCTCCCAAAGTGCTGGGATTACAGACGTGAGCCACCGTGCCCAGCCAATTTTTTTATTTTTAGTAGAGACGGTGTTTCACCATGTTGGCCAGGCTGGTTTTGAACTCCTGACCTCAAATGATCTGCCCGTCTTGGCCTCCCAAAGTGCTGGGATTACAGTCATGAGCTACCATGCCTGGCCATAAATACATTTTTGTATTGGTCCTGTAGTCAGACTATTCTCTACTCCGACAAATTGATATATGGGTGTGTCTTAGAAGGATGAATAAACTTAAAAATGGAGCCTGAAAGATTTGGAGAAGAATATTCTGGTAATGGGAATCATTTAACATTAAATTTGAGGCCTGAGGCAGAATACCTCCTTCTTTGAAAATCTTTAGACATGGGAGCGTCTCTTATCTTAATGGGTTAGTTTACAAGTGGTCTTTCCTTCAGTGAAGAGATGAGATGACTTCCAAATTATTGTTAGCCTGAAGATTCAGATTTAGGAATGATTGTAATAATCAACTTTGAAATTACGTTTCATCTAAAAAAAAAAAAAACAGAAAATAGTCTGTTAATTGAGCAGTTCTGTCATTTACAACTGTCTGATTTCAGTGACTGTTTATTTAGTTGCAAAATATTCAAGTCTGGCCTTGAAGCACATCTGAAGGCCAGTATTCTGAAACCCAACAGGGAGGTCTTAAAAATTTTTTGGCCGGGCACGGTGGCTCACACCTGTAATCCCAGCACTTTGAGGGGCTGAGGCGGGCGGATCACGAGGTCAGGAGATCGAGACCATCCTGGCTAACTTGGTGAAACCCCGTCTCTACTAAAAAATACAAAAAATTAGCTGGGCGTGGTGGCGGGCGCCTGTAGTCCCAGCTACTCAGGAGGCTGAGGCAGGAGAATGGCATGAACCCGGGAGGTGGAGATTGCAGTGAGCCGAGATTGTGCCACTGCACTCCAGCCTGGGCGACAGAGCGAGACTCCATCTCGAAAGTAAAAATAAAAATTTTTTTTTTTTTTTTTTTTTTTTTTTACTTTAGCCACGTCTCAGAACAAAAAGAGTTCCTTCCAAGGAAAAGGAGGGGCATCATGGCTGTTTTTTCATTTCTCTGTCTGCAGCTACACATGCATGCCACAGGTCACTAGGAGGGATTTGTAATCAGTTTTTTAGTGTATTCCCCCAGCCTTCAATCATAAAAGCAAGTAAGTGGGAAAAAGTCACCTCCTTCAGGAACTAGTTCCAATACTACAAATTAAACTCTGTTACAAAAGAGTGAACATTTTTGAAAGCATGTGTTATTGAAGTTGACATTTCCTAACATGGTTTTATTCAACAATTTAGATGTGTAGGGTCCAAAGATAAAGGTACTGATGAGATACCATGGCTTCCAAAATAGAAGTCTTTTCAATGATTTTATATCCTCTCTTCTCCCCCTTTGGTTGTAGCTTGGTTTATTTTAAACTACTGATAATAATTGTGTTTATTTTTAAATAATTGCATCTAAAATAGTTTAGAATGGAGTACATTGAAATAAAGAGATTATATATGGATATCATAATTGCATTGCTGTGGGGGGTGTGTGTGTGTGTGTGTGGGGGGGGGGTGTGTGTGTGTGTCAGAGTCTTGCTTAGTCACCCAGGCTGGAGTGCATTGGCACAATCGTGGCTCACTGCAGCCTTGAACTCCTGGGCTCTAGTGATCCTCCCGCCTCAGCCTCCCCAGGAGCTAGGACTACAGGTGCTCACCACCATGCCCTGATACATTTTTTTGTTTTTTTGTAGAGGACAAGGTCTCACCTTGTTGACCAGGCTGGTTTCAAACTCCTGGCTTCAAGTGATCCTCCCATCTCAGCTTCGCAAAGTGCTGGGATTATAGGTGTGAGCCACGGTGCCTGGCCGTGTTGCTATTAGAAACTGCCCTGCAGTGAGTATATTCAAGGCTGCAAAGTAAACCGAACCCAGCGAGGCAGCCATTTAACTGGTATGACTTGACCTGTATGTCTCTACTGCTTATTTTGTCCTGGTATATGCATTACAGAGGGAACATTGGCCCTGCCCGTACCTGAAGCCTGCAGTTCATCACAGGAAACAGCAGGAAAATATGGGACAGAAATGTACATGATTCATCCTTGAAAGTGTTTTTTGGGGATAGTTTTATGGGAGGATTTGGGAATTGGTTTATAAAGAAGAAAGGAAGGAGATTGCTCCTTCATTTTTGTAGGAAAACTTGGGCAAATATTTGGGCAAGATGTATTTATATTCATTGAGTCACTGAGTGAATGAGAACCTGGGAGTGCAGACCTGCCCTTGAGATACTTGTGGTTTACTGGCAGACAGGCACACAAAACCAGAACCAAGTTCAGAATGCTGTGGGGGCCATCGTTAGAGCAAGATTGATTCTGTGTGGTGGGGCCCAGAAGCCTTTAAACATGATGTCTGAGCACTGCTGTGAACCAGCTGGTGTACTAGACATTAGAGATAAAGCACAAGCCTCAGTCCTTGCTTGACGCGGTATGGTTGTGTGTGTGTTGCTCAGGAAAGGATGCAATCATGCGTTTGATCTTAAGCCATGTTGACACTGAGGACCTTTGGCACATCTTTGGGAGATGGCAGGAATGCAGTTACATGTGAAAGTCTGGGGCTCAGGACAAAGGCCTGTGCAGGGAGTCAGCTATGAATGGGATCCTTGAGGCTATGGGTATGATTGTGGTTTCCTAGAGAGAAAAGGACCTAGAGCCGAGCCTGGGGAGCACTAGCACAGAGAATTCTAGAAACAGGAGCACCAGCCCACTCAGAACACATTCATTGCTTGACCAACATTGAGGAGCAGAAGCAGCAGAGATTGATGCACTTGCCATATGTGTATTCATTATTATTAGGCTGTCAATCTTGTTCTTCTGAAGTCCTTTGCTCACATAAGCTTTATCTCATTAAAAGTGATTAGGCGTGAAAAGAAGGTGTATTGGAAGAGATTTTTAAAAATCTGATTTCATATTGTATCACTGTTCTTCAGTTATCTGTGACATACTTGTTCCAAAACAGAGTAATTTCTTCCGTCATTGCTTGATGACTAAACTGTCAGTGCTGCTTTTCTCATTTTTTCCAATCTTAATAGTGTTTCTGTCTTCCTGTGGGAGCTGTAGTTGGAATTAATTAATGGTAGTGGATTTTGGGCCTGCCCTTTTTGTTCTGTTTTGCTTTAGTGTGATACTAAACTCTGATAACTTAATCAGACCTTTATTCAGGAATTACATGTATGTACTCTCATCTGTCCTTTCTTCTCTAAAATGGAAAAACGAGTATTAATTCAAAAGACATTTAATGCAGAGGCATTTCCTCCCTTTTGCAAATACTTCTTGTGTTGTACAGCATGACAGGGCCTAGGGAGGTACTGTTGAGCAAAGCTGATGTGGTTCAGGTCTCTGCTTGGGCCGCTATAACAAAATACCACAGACCAAGGGGCTTAAACAACAGACATTGATTTCTCCCAATTCTGGAGTCTGGCAAGCCTAAGATCAAAGCGCCAGCCAATTTGGTTCCTGGTGGAGGCTGACTCCTGGCTTGCCTTCTCCCTGGGTCCTCACATAGCCTTTCCTCAGTGCTTGGGGGTAGCAAGAGCGCTTGCAAGCTCGGGTCTCTCATACTCTTCTTATGTGGACACTAATCCCGTCGTGGGTGCCCTACCCTCTCGACCTTATCTAAACCGAATCATCCCCCAGAGACCTCACCTCCAGATACCATCAACATAGATTGGGGAGGCAGGCTGCTCATAACCATTCAGTCCATAACAGTCCATCGCCTCAAAAGCTTATAGTGTAACTAGGGGTCAGAAATCACACAATCCCACATAAAGGGATGAGAATAGTGATAAATGTGGCGGTGGGTACAGCTCAGTTAAAGTTTTAAGAAGTCATATTTCGTATTTATTGTCACTGAAAACGGCTCACCAAGCACATTAAACATCTGCCTCTTCCAGGACTTCAGCAGGCCTGTGGCCCATGCTCCAGTGTCTTGATCCCTACACCTGCATCACGTGAAGGCTTTGTAGACATGCCGTCAGATACTAATTTTTTTCTTGACAGCTAAAATTGCACCTTTTTCTACAATGAATTCCATGGTGTTCCTAGTAGTTATGTCTTTCCAGTAATGAATTAATTGCTGCATCTGGAGGCAAATTGTTTTAGCCTTTTTTAGTGTTCATTCATTAAAATATAGATCATATTTAAAGGAATATTTGATGAACAATTTATTCTAAAATAGCTCTGTGAATTCTGTGAACTTTCTGCAGGCAGTCTCTCAGTCATCAGTATTTATATCCTAAAATTGCCTTTTGCTTGTCACAAACTTTAATGCATTCATTTAGCAATAAATATTTATTGAGTGCCTGCATTGTACACAAAGCTCTGTTAGGTGCCAGGGATATAGCTATGGACTGTCTCTGCCCCCAAGGAGCTTCACATTAAAATCTCAAGCAAAAAGAAGCAAAAAATGGAAAAATCCTTAACCAGGTCTCCCTTTGGGTAAATTCTAGCCTTTCTAGTCAGACAGCCTTGGCTTGATCACTTAATGCCTTTGTCAGCCTACTTGGCCTCTCTGAAGTTGTTTATGTGTTTGTAAAGTGGAGATAACTTGCATGATTGTTACAATGAGATGCTGATGGATAGACAGATCCCATTAGACACAAAAGATGTAAAGTTTTTAATGACAACCAATGCAGAAACTGCAGACATCATCACACAGGGCAGAAGATAATGCAATGTGATGCACCTCGGTGGAGGTCCTGCTGCCCAGGCCCCAGGATTCCTCTCAGGATGTCCCACTGGTGGCACCACCAGTGTTATTGATTGGTTGGTGGCGGCAGGGGGATGTTCAGCAGCTGTGAGGTGCCCCTTTGCCACTGTCATGGAGAGGAGCATCCAGCCTTCCTCTACCCATATCGTTCTTTAGCTCTGGCCATGTACCTATCTGTACTACCCAGCATGCTCCTGAGTGTGTACTCTGAGATGGGTGAAGCCAGGGAAGGTGTCTGAGGAGCAGCCCTCAGCACACTGTGGTAGCAAAAGCCCACCTGGGCCACCCCAGCAAAACTAGTACCTAACTCATGGTTTTGACAGTTAATGAGGCAGAGCTTTCAGCATAGTGTTTAGTGCAAAGTACTTAATATTTTAATACCATTACTACATCCTTAAATTAATTATAAATTAATACGTTAATACCATTATTATTCTCAGTGAAGTAAAACATTCAACATTGGAAATAAAACATTGTTTCAGGAGGATCTTCTTTTCCAGATATGGTTAGATAACATGCTAACATAACCCAATGTATTTTCTCTTGGGTCAAACATAAACCTAAACTTTTTCTTCTAAATTTGAGAAAATTATAACAACAAATCTCTGCTGCTGCTTCGTTTTCCAGAAAAGTAAATGAATATTTTCCTAACTCCTCTCCTCCAATCAAAAATACAAAGCAAAACCCCTACAAATATTATAACAGTGATTTTGCTGGTATTACTTGAAAACGTCCATGCAATATAATATACTCATTCTGCTGTTAGTCACGTTTCAGTATTAGAAGACTAAAATTCTTGCAGGAATAGCCAGCAGAGGTTCTACTTAACATTTTGTGTCACTGTGCTGTTGTTACTTAACTAGCAATTTTTAGTTCTAAATATATATTATCTTCCTAAAACAAATTGAGGCAACAAGGTGTGCCAGAAACTGACCCTTGCTGCCACTTGGTCAGAGGTCCCCGTCTTGGATTGCAGGTGCTGTTTGGCACAGCTGATGGGCAGGTGATTGTCATGGATTGCCACGGCAGGATGCTGGCCCACGTCCTCCTGCACGAGTCAGACGGCGTCCTCGGCATGTCCTGGAACTACCCAATCTTCCTGGTGGAGGACAGCAGCGAGAGCGACACGGACTCAGATGACTACGCCCCTCCCCAAGGTACTCATTGGCCCTACTTTCCTTGTCACTGACCAGAAGGACAAGGAAGGACGCTGGAGGGGAGTAGACTGATGTAGAGGTAGGACGGTGAAGGACCACAACACATGTGGCACCCGGGCTTCCTGGGAAGAGTTCTCGAGCTGAAATGCAAGATAGGGCTGGCCTCATCTAGATGTGACTGTCTCCCTGCTGTTGTCCTTTTTCTCAGAATCACTGGTCGAATTGATTACACTTAATTCGCTTAGCTTTTCCTAGATATAAAGTGAGACACATGGCTCTTCCTGTGTCCCTGAGATATGGTGGGGCTTAGCTGCTTAGTGACAATAAAGAAAGCTAAAGATGAAAAATTCTGTGCTATTATTATAACTTAATATGTGATATATCCAAATCCCCAATGTTATTAAAGCCTGTGGCTTTAGGTGCATGAGAAAAGGATTTGTTCTGCCATAATGAAGGCCAGCACCTTGGGCAGATAACTCCACATTTCTGTCTATCCTCTTTATTTTGGGCAGAAGCTTTCCTCCTTCTCAGGTCAAAAAGACCTGCTGCCTCTGTGTATACACCACTTGGTGTTGAATACTCTTGGTGGGGATAACTTCAAATTCTAGCCACCTTAACCTCTAGCAGGTCTCCAGAATCAGTGTACAGCACTGCCTACTCTGTTGGCTCTTCACCAGCATCCCATCCTCTGTATCCATCTCTTCTAAAAAAAATTGACATACAATAATTGTACATATTCATGAGGTACATTGTGACAGTTTGATACACATAATATATAGTGATCAGATCATTTTAATTAACATATTCATCATCTCAAACATTTATCATTTCTTTGTGTTGGGAACATTCAATATCCTCGTTCTAGGTATTTGAAACTATATAATATGATAATATGTTATTGTTAACTATAGTCATCCTACAGTGGTATAGAACACTAGGATTTAGCCTTCCTACGTAGCTGTAACCACCTCGTTTTGGGGAGTGGGACTGGCTTCTTGATTAGAAGTGGTCACACTGCCACAGGCTTCTATCCTTAGCCTGGCAGAGCTGTGCTTACACTGCTGTGTGCCCTTCATAGTCAAAGGGTACAGTGGGTGGTTTCTAACCTTTCCTGCCACTGTGGGGTATGTCATCCTGTGAAGGGCTGTTCTGGGGGAAATTATAGAAATTTTCTCCCCCGTCAGTGTCTGCCTCCATTGGAACCTGCAGTATTCTCATGTTGTCTTCTCTTTCCTGCCACAGCACGTTATGCTCCCCAGCAGCAGACACGTGTGTGTACACACACACTCATTCATTCATTCATTTTAGGAGAAGGCATTCACATGTGAAAAACAGTTGTGATTAATGGTAGTGTTTTAGGACCAGTGGCTTGGGGGCTGTTTATGGGTGTTCCTAGCACTCATAAAGCAGTTTAGGAGTTAACCATCCCCTTTCCTAATAGGATATCAGCCTTGAGAGAAGTGTTCGTCATATTTCTACAGCCTCATAATAGTGAAGTCAGTGTCTTCATCACATGGACTCAGGATACTCTTAGAACTCCTCTTTAGTGGGTCAAATCCAGATTTACTTACCTCCGTTTTATTATTGAAAAAAAAAAAAAAAACAAGGGGCCAGGCACAGTGGCTCACACCTGTAATCCCAGCACTTTGGGAGGCCAAGGCGGGTGGATCATGAGGTCAGGAGATCAAGACCATCCTGGCTAACACACTGAAACTCTGTCTCTACTAAAAATACAATACAAAACAAAACAAAACAAAAATTAGCCGGGTGTGGTGGTGGGCGCCTGTAATCCCAGCTACTCAGGAGGCTGAGGCAGGAGAATGGCATGAACCCAGGAGGTAGACCCTGCAGTGAGAGCCAAGATCGCACCACTGCACTCCAGCCTGGGCAACAGAGTGAGACTCTGTCTCAAAAAAAAAAAAAAAAAGAAAAAAACACAAGATCCAGAGACCAAGTTTATAAAGCAAGTCCAGAGTAAGTCCAAGAACAGAATTCAGTCCCTGGTTGCTCCTCCAGGCAGTTGCCCTTCTCAGAAGCTCAGAAGCAGAGGGGCAGTTTAGAGGATGACAGGTGACAGGTGTTCGCCTTTCACATGCAGCAAGCTTCTTCTTAGTGGCCTAGGGAATTTGAGGGCAGAGGTCGGTATAGTGCAGTGTCATGATGTAAAGCAAAGCAATAGCTGGGCTTCCTCTGCAGACAGATGGCAGGCCGGCCCGCCTCGATGGCTGCTAAGATGAGCCCAGTGTGGGGTGAAGCCTACAGGAACCTTCTGAAAACCTTGATCTATCTAGGCATCTAGGAAGGGCTTACTTTTGCTTTTTCAAACACCCTGTGAAAGACCAAGTCCATGGTCCATCATGGCCCCTTCTGTAATGTCTGCGTGAGGCTCCAGCGCAGGGTTTTCCTTACGCTGGCTGTGCTCCGCAGGTGCAGCAAGCCTCTATGAGCCACATTTAGCCCAGCCTTCTCTCCAAATATGGGCGGGCCACTGTGGCTGCTTATTTTCTGTAGCATTCAACGGAAGAGGAGTTAGTCTTGAAAAGCAACTTTTTTCATAATTAAGAAAATGTTTTTATCCCTCCTTCTACCATCCCTGGACGTTGTATGACATTAAAATAATTTATGTCTATATAATATCATTAGAACCATGTAACACATTAACATCAAGGTAATAAACTTTCACACATATTCTCACCACTCACCAATTGCCCCTAGGGCTGTGTCTCTAGTGTCCTGCTTCTTACTCACGAATTCTCTGTTAGTGCCCACTGATGGCCCTTGTGTAGTTCCTGAATGATGTTGAATGCTTCATTTAGGTAGCATCCAAATCCAGAGCAGGATCTGCATTGTCAGGCAATTTGTAAGGCACCATGCAAGATTGCAGCTTTGGGAACCTGGATTTGGGTGGTGTGCTTCCCTCCTTTTCACCTGGCACTTGTGTTCCTGCAGATGGTCCAGCAGCGTATCCCATCCCAGTGCAGAACATCAAGCCTCTGCTCACCGTCAGCTTCACCTCAGGAGACATCAGCTTAATGAACAACTACGATGACTTGTCTCCCACGGTCATCCGCTCAGGGCTGAAAGGTACAGAATGCTGCACACACCCCAAGCCTGCAGACCAGGCCTGCGTGTGTTTGCTTCAAGGCCGGTCTTGTACACCCTGTGCTTACTGATTCCTGTCCTCTGTGGTGACCCTTTCTGGGCTTCGTGGAGTCTGTTAACTAAAGCGGCTCCCTCTTCGCTCCTTTGCTTATCTGACAAGTCCATACCTAGTCTTATCTCAAAGGGAGATTCCTGACATTCAGTCTTCGTCTTAACCTGCTCTTTTCCTCACTATGACAAGAATGATCCTCTCTCAGGTGTACAAGTATGTTTGTATCTGACTTACACGTGTCTACACAATAAACGGACTGCAGCACCTGCCATCCCTGAGGGAGCAGATGGTGCACAAACCATCATTTACACAGAAGCCCCTGTGATTTTAAGAACCTGGCAGGCTTATTAAGGAGCTGATCATTGTGTGATAAAGTTACCTTGAAAGACTTGTGGAGGTTCTGCAATTACTAGACTGAGACATCGATGTGAAGGGCAGCAGTCAAGTGCTGATACCTTCCTGATAGATATTATGAGTGTTGTTATCTCAAAAGAAAATCAGTGGGCATAGGCATTTGGAGTGTTGTAAATTTTGCAATTCGAGGCTACTGCTGATGTTGTTGACTCCATTGATGTGAGTTCTTTTTTTTTTTTTTTTTTTTTGAGACGGAGTCTCGCTCTGCCACCCAGGCTGGAGTGCAGTGGCCATATCTCAGCTCACTGCAAGCTCCGCCTCCCGGGTTTACGCCATTCTCCTGCCTCAGCCTCCCCAGTAGCTGGGACTACAGGCGCCGCCACCTCGCCCGGCTAGTTTTTTGTATTTTTTTAGTAGAGACGGGGTTTCACCATGTTAGCCAGGATGGTCTCGATCTCCCGACCTCGTGATCCGCCCGTCTCGGCCTCCCAAAGTGCTGGGATTACAGGCTTGAGCCACCGCGCCCAGCCCATTGATGTGAGTTCTATGGAAAAACAATCTGTCTCTTCAGGGTTGAATGGTACAATGTAAAAAGGTTTTAAAATTCAATACCTGGCTGCCTCTGACCCTTGATGTTTAAGGGACCTCCTGTAATCTGAATGAGGATATAGGAGACAAGGCAGGAACTTTGGTATAACTCGCTACTGTCATTCAAAACTGGCCATCAGTCTAGGGAGTCATTACCGTGTGCTGCTGCTGCTGCTTGCCTGAATTATTCAGCAATTACAGGGATGTAAAGTCTAGGCAGGGCATGGTGGCTCACGCCTATAATCCCAGCACTTTGGGAGGCCGAGGTGGACGGATCACGAGGTCAGGAGTTCAAGACCAGCCTGGCCAACATCGTGAAACCCCGTCTCTACTAAAAATACACAAATTAGCTGGGCGTGGTGGCAGATGCCTGTAATCCCAGCTACTTGGGAGGCTGAGGCAGGAGAATTGCTTGAACCTGGGAGGCGGAGGTTGCAGTGATCTGAGATCAAGCCACTGCACTCCAGCCTGGGTGACAGAGCAAGACTCTTGTCTCAGAAAAAAAAAAAAAAAAAATTAACCAGGTGTGGTGGTGTGTGCCTATAGTCCCAGCTACTTGGGAGGCTGAGGCAGGAGAATCGCTTGAACCTGGGAGGCGGAGGTTGCAGTGAGCCGAGACCGCACCATTGCATTCTGGCCTGGGCGACAGAGCGAGACTCTGTCTCAAGAAAAATAAAAGGATCAAGTCTATATACGTAACTGTTGGTTGACAAGAATCATACCTGCCTCTGCACCCCCTCAAGTAATTATTCTGTTTTTACACTATAGAATATTTTTGGAAGCATATTACATACCCTCTTTGGGGCATCCCAATCTACTGTCTCAGGACTGTAATTATAAGGAATTACTTAGGTGGTAAACTCCTGAGGGACATGAATGATGCTGAAGTCCTTTTTATCACACATATGCCCCGGTAGGAGCTGAGTACCTATTTTTTGTGGTGATGATGAACTTAAATTCCTGTGCTTGTCTGTAAATTTTTTTCTGAATGTTCTGTCTTTCATGGAGCTAAAACACAGGGATGTAATTCCTAATGTATTTATAATCCATGCTTAGCCTTTTTCTTCGAAATTCTGTTTTTAAACCTTTAAACCAAATTTATTAATTTTTTGAGAACCTGCCTCTAGTTCTGGAATCCTGAACTTTGTTTCTCTACCAAATATCTGGTGAAGGCTGAACATAATGCAATTACCACTCAGTTCCTTTTTATTCTTTACAGGGGGAATTTTTCCAATTTTTTGCCACCCTGCTTATGGAAACTTTATTTTTACCCTTTGAATATGCCCAAGGTATTGGAGCAGCATATCTCTTTTTTTTTTTTTTGAGATGGAGTTTTGCTCTTGTTGCCCAGGCTGGAGTGCAATGGCACGATCTTGGCTCACTACGACTTCTGCCTCCCAGGTTCGAGTGATTCTTCTGTCTCAGCCTCCTGAGTAGCTGGGATTACAGGCGCATGCCACCATGCCTGGCTAATTTTTGTATTTTTAGTAGAGACGGGGTTTCATCGTATTGGTCAGGCTGGTCTGGAACTCCTGACCTCAGGTGATCCACCCGCCTCGGCCTCCCAAAGTGCTGGGATTACAGGCATGAGCCACCACACCTGGCCTGGAGCAGCATTTCTAACGTATTGCAACTATATGTGTAATATAGGTAGAAGCACACGTTAGGTAACGGGGAGGTGACCCAAAGTAGCCCTCCCAAATGTGAAAATTTTTTGAGTTTTCTTCTAAAAATACAGGCAAATTTAGCATTTTAATTATTACCTAACTAGATATCTAAATCTAACCTAAAAATGTTTTCAGTTATTTACAGGATGCTTTCAGTGGGGTGCGGTGGCTCACGCCTGTAATCCCAGCATTTTGGGAGGCTGAGGCAGGTGGATTACCTGAGGTCAAGAGTTCAAGACCAGCCTGGCCAACATGGCAAAACCTCATCTCTACTGAAAATACAAAAAATAGCCAGGTGTGGTGGTGCATGCCTGTAATCCTAGCTACTTGGGAGGCTGAGGCAGGAGAATCACTTGAACCCGGGAGGCAGAGGTTGCAGTGTACCGAGATGGCCCCATTGCACTCCAGCCTGGGCAACAGAGCAAAACTCCGTCTCAAAAAAAAATTATTTGCAGGATGCTTTTGTTCTGTGTCTTCCTAGTTTCAGAAAGTTAGATTAAATCGAAATGAGCTGGTGCCATCTAGTAAGTGCTGTAAGGACAGAGGAAAAGCTTCCCTTCTGTCCTCTCTGAAGGTTCCCTGAAATGACTGACAGTAGACAGATTAATAGGAGAAAAGGCATAGAAATGTATTAATGTGAATAAGCATAGGACCCACATAAAATAAGAGACTCCAAGAAAGGCCACATGGTTGGAAGTTTTTATACCCTTTTCATGGGAAGGAGGGAAGTGGGGAGGTGGGTAGGCAATCATGATTTAGTAGTAAGTGATTTCTAGGAGAAATGAAGGGACCCAGGAGGTAGACGTTATCTTGTTAATAATTCTTGGGAACTGAGTGGGACTTGTAAGTTATGGAAAGGTGAAGGGTAGAACTCTGCCTGTGACCAAAGGTTTTGACAACTTTTATTCTCTTCTCTGGTGGTTAAGTCTTTCCTGGTTATTTGGGGAAAGCAGGAGAAGATCAGAAAGTCCTTGGCTCTGAAGCAGCTTCTAAGGCATGCTTGTGCAGCTTGCAGCCTGTGGGCCACAAGCAGCCCAGGACAGCTTTGAATGTGGCCAACACGAATTTGTAAACTTCCTGAAAACACTATGAGATTTTTTGTTTGTTTAAGCTCATCAGCTCCCGTTAGTGTTTGTGTATTTATGCATGGCCCAAGACAATTCTTCTTCCAGTGTGACCCAAAGAAGTCAAAAGATTGGACACCTCTGTTCTAAGGCCTTCCAGTTGCCTTTAATTCAAAATGCTCAGGCCGGGCGCGATGGCTCATGCCTGTAATCCCAGCACTTTGGGAGGCTGAGGTGGGTGTATCACATGGTCAGGAGTTCAAGACTAGCCTGGCCAACATGGTGAAACCCCGTCTCTACTAAAAAACACAAAAATTAGCTGGCCATGGTGGCTTGCGCCTGTAATCCCAGCTATTCAGGAGGCTGAGGTGGGAGAATTGCTTGAACCTGAGAGGCAGAGGTTACAGTGAGCTGAGATCATGCCACTGCACTCCAGCCTGGGTGACAGAGCAAGACTCCATCTCAAGAAAAAAAAAAAATGTTTAGTGTACCAAAGCACCATACTTGGGATCTCGTTCTCTGTGCCCTGATAGTGCTGTATGTAGGCAATTTACCTTTTCTCTCTTGGGATCAGAATGTTTTAAGGACTTAGCCTTTACGTGTGGTATGAATAGCAATCATTTTTGTTTTGTAACTTATTTTTTTATCCACTATCTTACGGGCTATGTTGGTAAATATTGGGAAGAGACAACCAGGGTACTGTTGGAGATGGCACATGGCAGTGTTTTTAGCCTAGGGTCATCTGTTCTGTTACAGACAGGTCAGTTACTTGTCTCATAGAGGAAATTAAAAAGGTCTCCAATCCACCTGGTTTTTCTCTGTTACTGTCTCAGAGGAATATCACTAAAGAACTTTTGCAGTGAAGGAAGGTGACTCACAATATTGTTTTAGTATATCACCAGCACTGGAATTTATGTCCTGTGCAAAAGAATCTAGAATTCCACATAGCTCTTGGTCCCTGCCCAGGCCTTTTCTGCATCATCCAGCACACTTCATTTTCACTGCAGATGTGTCTGTGGGCTCAAACGCCGGGGTCTGGGGAGGGTTAGGCTCTGGGTTTGCTTGGCAGTGGTTTGCTGAGGAAGTTCTGCCTTCCTCAGATTCTGTTCCTTCAGAACAGGGACTTCTGTTCATCACGCAATAAGCAGGGAATTATTCATTTTGCTTGGGGTTTTTACCCATTGTTATAACTTCTACTCTTTTCCTGAGTAGAAATAATTCAATTATGAGTTCAGGAATTTTCTGCCCAAGCCAGTTCATCCCTCAGTGGCAAAGCAGGCTCCCAGAGGCACTCATTTCATCCCACACTTGCCTTGAAATTAAAAGCTCCAACCCCTGGACTTTGTTTGTTTTTTTGTTTTGCAGAATTTTCTCTTTTTATCATTTCATTGAGCACGCTGAGAAAATGAGGAGGGAATTTTTGAGGCAGGTAGTTTCAGTCATTGATGCCATCTGCTCCTGCGGGCAGACCTGATAAGATTTGCCCACATCATCCTCATTGAGTACATGCCCCTTTTTTTCGGGCCTTGCAATGAAACATACTTCTTAAAGGGGGAAAAAAAAAGTACCTGTTATTTTATCATCACACACTTTGCTAATTAATTAGTTTCTCTTTCCTCCACCCCCCACTGCTGCATATGCACGTGTGTATGCAAATACACAACATGCGTGTCTAATGACTAATAAAGAGGTGAATCATGCACATGGTAATCTGAGGGAAAAAGGACTGGATAACTGCAGACTCCAAACAGTAGCTGCAATATATATGGTGCTTGATAAGCACATCTTTCTTTTTCTGTTAAAATGTAGCTGCCTCTTTCTGACCCAGTAATACCACACAAGGGCTTCTTGTTAACACAAAAGAACTACATTTTCACTGACTTCATATAACCTTCCAGACTTTTACCAAAAAAGATCCATAAGATTTTCTGGCTAAAGAATAGTGTACGTGTGCTGAATTTCTTTGTGTAAAATCTGTTGGAGACCAAAAACCCACACCCCCCAAAATCGTTGAGAAACATAGATGCTTCCGGAGTACGGGCCTCTTGTGTGCTCCGGAACTCCCCGTTGCCTGCGAGGGTGAGATTAGAGAATCTGGGCCACGAGCTTTAGGAAAAGGGACAAGAGGCCTGCTGAGTAGAGCATTAGTTTGTTCCTTTTAGGTTGTATTCTGAAACAAATTTAAAAATGAGAGATTCAAGCAAAATTACTATGGAAGTCTTGGGCAAAGATACTGGGGATTATTTTTTAAATAAGACAGACATCGTTTACAAAAAGTTTCTGAAACAAAAAAGTTCTGTCCTGACTATATCTAGGCTTCTGTATCCTCCTCTTCTTTATCATAGTGACATGTAGAAATTGAATGAGTATTTTCTTTTACTTTGATTTTCCCACTAATTTCTGAAAATTTTAAATTCCTACCCTAGGAATTCAACTCCTGCAGAAAACTCGCATCCTCCTGGCTGACACTGAACAATTCAGGGTTATTCTTTCTTAGTCCCACTGCTGAGTTCTTCCTGCTAGTACTTTATGAGATAGCCAGAATCCCTGGTCACGGCTGTGCCTGTCATGTGGCTCAGGACTGCTTTATGCTAAATCATCAGAGGTGTTCACATATGTTGCTATATCACTTGATGCATGTAGCTCCATAATCGTTGGAACAAGAAATGGCATTATTTGTATAGAATTTAATCTTTTTTGAAAGAGTCATTCACCTCTGCAGATGACAGTAATCTCATTATAACTTTGCATCTGCATTAAAAGAAGTCCTGGCCGGGCGCAGTGGCTCACGCCTGTAATCCCAGCACTTTGGGAGGCCGAGGAGGGTGGATCACCTGAGGTTGGGAAGTTGAAACCAGCCTGACCAACATGGAGAAACCCCATCTCTACTGAAATACAAAATTAGCTGGGCATGGTGGCGCATGCCTGTAATCCCAGCTACTCGGGAGGCTGAGGCAGGAGAATCGCTTGAACCTGGGAGGCAGAGATTGCAGTGAGCTGAGATTGCGCCATCGCACTCCAGCCTGGGCAACAAGAGTGAAACTCTGTCTCAAAAAAAAAAAAAGGAAGTCCCTGAGAGTTAACTTGTAAACATTTGGATTCATTCTTGCCTCAGATAGAGCCCATCTCGTAGACAGATGGGGAGTGCCCCAAGTTGCTTGCTGAGTCCCTGAGCAGTCTCCGAAAGCATCATCGTCTAGGTCAACTCTGCAGGGGCAACAACCCACTTTTCTGTTGGGGAAAGCCACCTTGCAATACAATTCAAAAAAATCTTATTTTAAAAATAAATACAAGAATGGTGCGGTTCAGATGAGGAGCTCTGGAAATTTCATGTCATCACCTTTATTTCTACAATATTGCAATGATGCTTCTGTCCTAAGAAGCTTGAGACACCGTCGTCTTTGTTACTACTTTGACTGTTTATGTTAGTGCTTTGCCTTTTGGTTGCCTTGTGTGCCCAAAGCTGCTCTCCAGAGAATGTCATCTCAGTTTCCTGATCACAAGCAGGGTTTTCCCTGAGATGGACCTAGGCATTGAATGCCCAGAGCGCATTTAGTATGTGCACGAATCCTCTAGCTTCCCCCCCACCCCCGCCCCGTAAAAGAATCTGATTCACCAGGATGTTTTTGATTCTTTTATGTAATTTTTCATTTCCTGGTTGTGACAGATTTTTTTCCATTTTCTATTCATCTGTAACTGCTTTGGCTCAGCCCTTTGTCTCCCTACTTTCTGCTCTGCAGCTAACTTCATGAGAAAGTCCTGGGTTCCCTGGGTCTGGAAACCTGTCTTGTCCCAGGAGACACACTCCAGTTTTCAACAGAGGTGAAAGAGCCTCAGCCACCTCAGAATGTTATGGTAGCAGCATCAAAATCATGACCATGCATGAATAAGGGGTATTGTAATGTGTGTGCTGATAGAGCCTGGGGACCACTGAATTCTAGCCCCACCTCTGAAATATGTGCTCATCAGGGCAGAGCATTTTCTTTAAGTTCCACCCAGCTTCTCTGCAAAGTGGGCCACTTTGGTTCTAGATTTCAGAGATCTCTGTATAAACCAGATTACGATTTTAGGGTCTTAGGGAGAAAAAAAAATGTCATAAATCTTATTAATACTAATAGCTTTTGTTTTACCAGCAAGAAATAAGTAAATTGCTCACATTGGGATAAGATAAACCTTTTAATAGCTATTTCTTATAGTCACTGAGTAGTTTGTAAGTGGGCATTGAATTTCCAGTGTGGAAATTACGCTGAAAAAACTGTCTCCCAGCAGGGGTATTTTCTTTTCTAAGCCCCACAACATCATCAAATGGCGAATAAGAGTCAGCGTTCTCATATGCTTGTGTGTCCTTTGTGTGAACCTTATCTGCCCAGTAGTGCCCAGAAATCAAAGGAATATAAACTAAAGCTTTGTTTTCGATGTGTTTTTTACTTTTGGCATTTATAAACTCTCTGAGTCATCCCTGGGAGTGGAGGACACGGCAGTGGGACCAGCACTTATATGAATATACAGTCATAGGTTTTATTGTCTTGCTTTCTCTTTAAAGAAAAAGGAAGTTCTACAAGTCTCATTATGGAAATACTGGAATTGGAGATACATATTTAATATGCCAACTTTATTATATCATGATTTCTACCTAATTTGATTGTGTTTCAGGAAACTACAATTTCCATTCATGTGACAAACACCTGTTTTTAATAGAATCCATCTTCTTCAGAGAAATGGGTGGTTGTATTCATGAGCTAAAACATGAATATATGGGCTGGGCACTGTGGCTCACGCCTGTAATCCCAGCACTTTGAGAGGCCGAGGCGGGCAGATCACATGAGGTTGGGAGTTCGAGACCAGCCTGACCAACATGGAGAAATCCCGTCTCTACTAAAAATACAAAATTAGCCGGATGTGGTGGCACACGCCTGTAGTCCCAGCTACTCGGGAGGCTGAGGCAGGAGAATCGCTTGGACCCAGGAAGCAGAGGTTGCAGTGAGCCGAGATCATGCCATTGCACTCCAGCCTGGGCAACGAACGAAACTCCATCTCAAAAAAAAAAAAAAAGAAAGAAAAAACCATGAATATATTTTTTGTTACATTTGCTCAGTGTCTGTATTTGTTAAACTACTGAAGACAGTAGCCTTGCTGAGTGACAGTTTAAAGAGGGCTGCGTCCTTGTGCTGACCCTCTCTCCTCTGTTTCAGAGGTGGTAGCCCAGTGGTGCACACAGGGGGACTTGCTGGCAGTCGCTGGGATGGAACGGCAGACCCAGCTTGGTGAGCTTCCCAATGGCCCCCTTCTGAAGAGTGCCATGGTCAAGTTCTACAATGTTCGTGGGGAGCACATCTTCACACTGGACACTCTCGTGCAGGTAAGGATGTTCTCTGGAAACAAGTAAATTTTCACCTGTATCTGCTTTCAGGGAGTGGCATCTCTATGTTGGTATTTCCCCAATTTCTGTTAAATACTAGTGAATGGGTTATTATAATTATTGTTGACAAATTTTATTTTCATCTTTTTTTACCTTAGTTAGGTTGTGGTGTTTAAACCAGGAGAAATAAGGGAGAAAGCAGTTTTTGCCTTTTAACCAGCATGCTTTATTCCATTTCCCAGTCAAATGAGCATATAGTGAAGAAGCAGAGTAAGCTGGTGTTTATTATCAGTCTGAAGTAGAAATCGGAAACTTGCAGAAGTGATTGCTGAATCTTCACTTACTCACTTTTAGGAAAGGAAGAGTAATTTTCTTCTCTACTCTTAGTGAGTTCTTAGCAGGACTTTCCGTTACAAAGGACAGATTAACAAGAGAAAAACAAACAGAAGTTTAATAACATGTACATCTCCTGCATACACGGGAGTTAACCCAAAGAAATGAGTAAGTCTTTAGAGCAGCTCAAAAAATTGTCTTAGACTACAGGCTCAAATGCTTCACAGAAACAGAAAGAAGGGTGATGTTCGTTCTGCAGATTTAAGCCAATGCCTTCTCTTTTTTTTTAAGTTTCCAGAAATCCAGTTATCCTTCTTTTCCTGGTGCCGAGAGAGACCGTTACATGTGTAGATTTTCTTTTTTTCTTTCTTTCTTTTTTTTTTTTTGAGACGGAGTCTCACCAGGCTGAAGAGCAGTGGCGTGGAAATCTCGGCTCACTGCAAGCTCCGTCTCCCGAGTTCACACCATTCTCCTGCCTCAGCCTCCCCAGTAGCTGGGACTACAGGCGCCCGCCACCACACCTGGCTAATTTTTTGTATTTTTACTAGAGACAGGGTTTCACTGTGTTAGCCAGGATGGTCTTGATCTCCTGACCTTGTGATCCGCCCGTCTTGGCCTCCCAAAGTGCTGGGGTTACAGGCATGAGCCACCACACCTGGCCTGCCTTTCCCTTTTAAACTGTTCTTCACTTTGTAGCCACAGTCTTTGTAAAATCACAAGTCAGATCAGTAGCTTCTTACTGTCCTTAGGATAAAGTTAAAAAACTCATTATGCCTTAAAAAGATCACCATAATCTGGTCCTCCATCCTCTCTAGAATTAGCTCTTACCACAGCCAGATTTTCTTTATAGATGTAATTTATCTTACAAAAGGGTAACTCTGAGGAGTTTACCCTGTGTCCTTTTTTTTTTTTTTTTTTTTAGATGGAGTTTTGCTCTTGTTGTCCAGACTGGAGTGCAATAGCACCATCTCGGCTCACTGCAACCTCCTCCTCCCGGGTTCAAGCAATTCTCCTGCCTCAGCCTCCTGAATAGCTGGGATTACAGGCACCCGCCACCACGCCCGGCTAATTTTTGTATTTTTTTTAGTAGAGACGGGTTTTTGCCATGTTGGCCAGGCTGGTATTGAACTCCTGACCTCAGGTGATCCACCTGCCTCAGCCTTCCAAAGTGCTGGGATTACAGGTATAAGCCACCACTCCTGGCCTACCCTGTGTCTTTACCCTATGTGTATCTCAAAATAACCAGCTCAAAATTATCCTTATGCCAAAGAGGCAGATTTGTGGTGGCTTATTCTGGTCTCCTACGGTCATATTTGGGAAGCATGTCCTGAAGCCTGCCACACTCTGATTTTGTGTTTGTTACGCCAGTGATGAACCTTTATATTTTAACTAAATTTTTTGTTAAGCAGTAATTTTAAAAGCTTAGAAGTCTTTAAGAAAGTATACACAGATGGGCCCCCTTTCTATTTGTTTTTATTTCCCAGAAATCTTTAGGCCACCTTATGTTTGGGTCAGTTATAGTGGTGGATTATTTCTCAGCAGCGCGTAATAGAGGCATGCCTGGGAGGGAGTTGACAGTGGAGGTGATAATAAACAAGAATCTGTGTCCTAACATTACTCAGCTCATCAGAGAGGCAGGGATAGCAGATATGGGGAAATCTGTAATTAGATGCAGGCATTAAATATTTAAATATATTTTTTCTTTTAATTGTGGTAAAATACATATAACATAAAATTTATCATCTTAACCATTTTTAAGTGTACTGTTTTATAGTGTCGAATATATTACATTATTTTACAACTAATTTCCAGCACCTTTTCATCTTGCAAAATGAAAACTCTTTACCTATTAAGCAACTACTCCCTGTTTCTCCCTCTTCCCAGTCCATGAGAAGCACCATTTTACTATCTTTTCTGTGAGTTTGACTCTACAATCCTCATGTAAGTGGAATTATGCAACATGTTGACAAACCAAATTCTGTGCAGTATTTAAAGAGGTTTATTCTGAGCCAAATATGAGCAACCGTGGCCTAGGACACAGTCACAAGAGGTTCTGAGAATATGTGCCTTAGGTAGTCAGGTCACGGCTTGGTTTTGTACGTTTCAGGGAGACAGAAGTTACAGACAAAGACATATATCAGTATTCGTAAGGCACATGTTGGTTAAACCTGTGGAAAGATAGGACATCTTGAAATGGGGCCACACACGTCACAGGTGGATTCAAAGATTTTCTGATTGGCAGTTGGTTGAAAGAGTTAAGCTTTGCCTAAAGGGTTGAAGTCAGGAGAAACAAGTGCTTGAGTTAAGGTAAGGGGGTTGTGGAAGCCAACGTTCTTGTTCCCCGCCGCAACCTCCCTGCGCCCTGCCAGATGGAGGTCTTGCCCTGTCCCACAGGCTGGAGTGCAGTGGCGCCATCTCAGCTCACTGCAACCTCCGCCTCCCGGGTTTAAGCAGTTCTCCTGCTTTCACTGTGTTGGCCAGGCTGGTCTTGAACTCCCGACCTTGTGATCTGCCCTCCCAAAGTGCTAGAAATACAGGCAGGAGCCACTGCGTCCAGCCCCAAGATTCTTGTTATGCAGATGAAACCACTTAAGTAGCAGGCTTCACGGTGAATAAATGGTAAATGTCTCCTTTCAGACCTTAAAAGGTATTAGACTCTTGGTTAAATGTCTCCTGGATCAAGAAAAGACCTAGGAAAGGAAGGACATTCTCTACAAAATGCAAATTTCCCCCAGGAGAGATGATTTTGCAGGGTTTTGCCATTTGCAGGTTTTGCCGTTTCAAAACATATCAACAAAATATATTTGGGGGTAAAATACTTTGATTTCCTTTAGGCCCGCCATCTGTTGTATGATGCTATGTCAGAATCAGGTTGGAATTTGGTATTTTATTGCTACAAAGAGTCTTAGTTTTATCAGTCTTACCTCTATTTTAATGTTAATGTTGGTCAGTTGTGCCTAAACCCCAAAGGGATGGGGGCAATATAAGGACCATGTCCAATCTTCCTTCCTGTCATAGCCTGAACTAGTTTTCTTTTGAGACGGAGTCTCTCTCTGTCGCCCAAGCTGGAGTGCAGTGGCACGATCTCGGCTCACTGCAAGCTCCGCCTCCCAGGTTCACGCCATTCTCCTGCCTCAGCCTCCCAAGTAGCTGGGACTACAGACACCCGCCACCATGCCCGGCTAGTTTTTTGTATTTTTTAGTAGAGACGGGGTTTCATCCTGTTAGCCAGGATGGTCTCGATCTCCTGACCTCGTGATCCGCCCACCTCGGCCTCCCAAAGTGCTGGGATTACAGGCTTGAGCCACCGCGCCCAGCCTGAACTAGTTTTCTAGACTCCTTTGGGATCCCCTTGGCCAAAAGAAGGCCCATTCTGTAGGTTGGGTGGCTTAGAATTTTATTTTTGGTTTACAAGTGTTTATCTTTTTCTGACTGGCTTATTTCACTTAGCATAATGTCCTTAAGGTTCATCCATGTTGTACCATGTGTCAGAATTTTCTTTCTTTTTAAGGCTGAATAATATTTTATTGTATGTATATACCACATTTTGTTTACCCATTGATGAACTTTTGGGTTCCTTCCGTCTTTCGGCTGTTGTGAATAATTCTTCTGTGAACATGGGTGTACACATATCTCTTTGAGACCCTGCTTTTCAAGTCTTCCGGATTTGTGCCCAGAAGTGGACTTGCTGGATCATATGGTAATTCTATTTTTAATTTTGTGAGGAACTGCCATACTGTTTTTTCATAGCAGCTTGTTAACAGAAAGACTAGTAAAATACTTTAAAGAGGTTTATTTTGAGCCAGTATGGGTGACCCTGGCCCAGCAAAACAGTCTCAAGAGGTCCTGAGAAAGTGCACCCGAAGCAGTTGAATTACAGTTTGGTTTTGTGCATTTCAGGGAGGCAAGAGTTACAGGCAAAGACATAAATCAACATGTGGAAGGTATCCGTTGGCTCAGCCTGAAAATGTGGAATATTTTGAAGCCAGGAGAAGTAGAGGAGTATACAAGTCAGGTAGATTCAGAGATTCTCTAATCTAGTTAGTTAAAGCAACAAAATTTGATCTAGAACTTGGGAGTCAGCAGAAAGGAATATTTTAAGTTAAAACATTCGGATGCTATATCAGAGTCAGCCAAAATATGGCCCATTTAGTGAGATTGATGGCCTGTAGGCATGGCTTAAGGCTTGCCTTGCATGACCTTAGGTATTGTTTAGAATTTGTTACTTATTTCCATCAAGAGTCTTTTGTCAGTCTCATGATCTCTATTTTAACTTTTACTCAGGTGAGTTGGACCTAAATTCCAGATGGGGGGGAGTATAATGAGGTGTGTCCAACCTCCCTTTCTGTCATAGCTAGGAAATTTTAAAAGTTTTTCTGGGGTTTCCTTGGCCAAGAGAGGCTCCATTCAGTCGATAGGGAACTTAGGATTTTATTTTTGGCTTACAAGCTGCACCATTTTACATTTTCACTACATTACACAAGGATTCTAGTTTTTCCACATCCTTGCCAATATTGTCATTTTTCTGGGATTTTTTTTGGAGTAACCATCCTCTTGGATGTTAGGTGATATCTCATTGTGGTTTTGATTTGCATTTCCCTTAGGATTAATAATGTAGATTAATGATGTTGTTGCATATCTTCTTTGGAGAAATGTCTGTTCAAGTC